GAACATTGTCTTTAAATGTTGCAGAAAAGAGCCACTGATGTAAATGCTCTACCGAGAAGTCCTAAAGTGGCATAATTTAGCTCCATCTGCTTTAAATTCTGTAAGAGGAAAATCTGTAATATTTTCCTAACCAAACAGTAATGCTTTAATGAAAAAAGTAGTCCACAAATCAAAATGTATCTTGTGCTTTTGATGTGTATATATATCAATTTCTATAAAAATTAATATACATATATTATCATAATTATATATTTTACATATCTTTAATATAAAATTAAGTTAAAAATGTTAATCTAATGAGTATTAATTGACTAAAATTATATTTGTGTAAACCAAAAAAATCTATTGATTAATCTATTTGCTGAAATAATTGATAGCTGAAGCCCTAAAGTCAACAGATGTTAAAATAAATAGTGATAGAAATTAAAGACATATTAACCACTATGACATTCATGTGTTTCACAACCTTTTGCCCCCATATTAGAGAAATACTCTAAGAGGATATGCTTTAAATTCCATGTTCTCATTAAATTGTTCTCATTAAATATGAAGGTAATTGGTGACACTGATTTCCTCTGAAAAATAATTGTTGGATGCTCGGTAAAAAGGCCATACGTACATGAGATTTTATTGGCACTAAGCACTATGACTGAGCTGAAGGTTCACTTCAGATAGCAGTTAGTTTAAGTCTTTAGGTCCAAGTAATCTGGAATTATATCTAATGAAGCGCCTAACTTTAAAAGTCATGAACTTTCCCTCCAAGAATAGCACCGCTCAAAGAGTCTGTGCAGGCATGCAAATGGCTCAAACTGCACAAAGGAGTCTGACTGAGGGGTTAGTGAACAGAAGAAACTGATGCAAGACATGAATTGAAAGCTTTCTGTTCCAAAAAAAATTTCTTTGTCAAAATTTTGCTCAGTGATTCTGACAAAAAACTGTATAGGACTTTTCTTACTGCTGTGTGTATGTATATATGTATATATGTATGTATATATATATATATATATATATATATATATATATATATATATATATATATATATGGCCACTCATAATTGGGCATGTTTTCTCAGCTGAATTTGTGCAAGGAGAAAAAAACAAAACAATGGACAGTTCTGACAATGCTCCAAGAAAATCGCAAGGCAGGTTTGTGTAATGAGGACTGTCAGCATTTCACAATTAGTGCTGCGGACTTTATCAGCAGAGACTAGCATTTCCAGACAGACAAATCATACTGGTTAGTAAATGCTTTGCAAACGCTGCTCGCTTTGACAGGCTTGTGACCAAAACTGTTCCATTTTATTTTTGTCCCTTTACTAGCTGAGTTTTACAGGAGAACATAGGGACTGAAATGTATTCTGCCAAAACACAATGTCTGCAGAGATTTTGCACCTTTTCTTCCCCTACTGCTGTCAATCTAACTCCTCTGCTTCATTTCATCACAGGAGCTAATTTTAAACTTGGAAGTGTGAGCTTTTGCCTGGAGGGAGATTATGCATAAAATTCTAAAAATAACATCAAATAGGCAAGATTTCTATAATAAAGCTGAAGAACTAAAGATCTGCACCATTTTTTTTCTTCTTACAAAAGAACTTAATGAGTTATTAAAAAAGTAAAAAATATTTTAAACAGTTATCAAATTTTAAAAATGATTTTTTTTTTTTTATTGATCAGGCAGTTTTAAATGAAAACTATTATAAGATTTGTATTATATGTGGTCCATTTAAATTTTAATGAGGTGAGAAAGACCTAGCTTTGGAGAAGAATGGAAAAAGCCTCTGTTTGCACCCGTCTTTCACCTCCAACACGCCTTCCTCCCAGGAGTAGCAGGAAATTCCTCCTAGGTGCTGGGAGTCGCCGTTCTCAGCCTGCACGTACAGACCGGCCTCCTCTGTCTGCAGATATCACACCGTGACGTGATCTGTTTAGCACCCTGGCTTAATGCTCACCTGCTCAGGCTCAACCCCCACCCCCCCAGTGTGAGCGCAAACGCCTCTGTGTGTGCAGCGATTATTGCGTCTGTGCTGTATGACTCTTTTCTCCTCACAGCTGGAATGGCGTCTCATTCTTTATCTGCAGCACTGCAATTATAAGCACACATGCACACAAAACGATAAATGGATTCTTACTGCAGGGAGATGTTTTGAAAATAATTTCAATCTCCTACAAATAATAGTGAGGAAGTATAGTAATCAAAATAAACTAACAAAAGAAAGGAGGTGAGACTAAATGAAATATGATGTATGAACATTTTAGCAACTGATTCAAACATGTTTCAGATTTTTCCTATAAAGTATGTGACAAAAAAATAAAAAGATAAGTAAACTGAGTTGATGCATTGATTTCTGCAATTTGCATGCATAGTTTGTCATTTCCCCCTGAGGTTGTCACCGTGCTGACAGATACAAACTGACTTGTACAACCGCACTCACAAAACGCACACCGAGACACTCGAGCAGAAGTCTGAGTCCAGCTGGATGTGGTCTCCTGCCAAACCTGCAGGGAGGCTGACTATTCATATTCATCACACACTGATTGGAACTGACAGGACACACACACACACACACACACACACATTCAAAGCACACAGGTTTTAAAAAGAAAAGCTACTGGATAGTGATATAATAGCTAAATAAGGCATATGTTGGTTATAGTGGAACAAGGCTAAACATTTTAATATTGGTAGTTTTCCGTTCCTGTGGATCAAAATACCTTTATTAAGTTGAAAAGAAAGTGCTGAGGTCTGGAGTGTATTCGGTGCTGAATAAGGCACAGAGTAATGGAGCTGCCTTTCATACCCTGTCGCTGTGCACTACCAATCAGCTGGCTGAAAGAAGTAATTTTACCTTCCGAGAAAGACATATTCAGCTGTTCAGAAATATTTCTGGACAGTCATGGAATTTATACTACCTAGCCATCCTATAAAGGTTATGCTGTTTCAAAACTGCAGCTATTTAGCATTGAACAACATCTGTGATAAGTAATTAATTTATCTAACTACAGCGAGAAAAGTCAACTGACTGACCAGCTAACATCAGTTTGCTAGACGTGAGTAAATACCACTCCTAAATCTAGTGTTTTCTTTTTTAAATATGCTTAAATGATAGTGGATACATAAAAATAAATTAATTATGAAACATATATATTTAGTTTTTTGCTGTTATTTTAGCTGTTGCTTTACTAGTTTAAATCAAAGCAGTCATATGTTATAGTTTAGATTCAGTTTTTTTATGGAAATAGTTTTGTTTTCTAAACAAGCTAATCATAACCTAATAAGATCTTTTTGTTGGGTTTTTTTTTTTTTAACCCCAGCTATGAATGTTATACATTGTAAATTAAATAATATGGACTGTTTGGTCATGGAAAATGAGGTGTTTATGGTAAAGAGATAGTCCTGATGGGATGAAGAGCAGGAGCAGTAAGTAATGTCATGAAAGGTGTGGGCTGAGAGAGAAAAAGGCAGAAGTTAATGATAGCCTATGGGCTGGTGAAGGCAACATCATTGAGAGACATAAAGGATGAGTACCTCTACACACACTCTCTCTCATCCAAATACACACAAAGGAGAAAAAAGAGAGAGAGAGGCTCCATGGGGCGCCGAATAACAACCTTCCATGTCATTATCATCACCAAGCAAAACCGCTCTCCTCTCCACTCTTCCACCACCACCTTCCATCTTCAACACAATCATTGCCCTATCGTTTACAGTGTGCCGCCAAATGGGAACATCAATAGACACATCCATTAGCAGCGCGAGTTCTTTCCTCTCTGATTCTCAAGTGCTTTAATAGTCTGCACACACAGACACACACAACAACACACAGACGGACACACACACACTTACCCTCAACCGACTGTTAACCAAGCTGGCCTCGTGCAGGAAACAAGCTCAACTGATGGAGTATATCATTAAAGCTAGACTCTGATATGGACACCATGAGGCTGGTGTCGTAGGTTAAAATAAAAGCTGAAAATGAACTGGGCTGCTTTAAAATCTGAGATGGCTATTTTTCAACTTCTGTTTACATTTTTTGTATAATTAACTTCATTTTAGTAGCTCTGCAAGTCTGAGCTCTTGACCGTCACATTGTTTGTTGTTAGCCGTTGCCACAGGATTTATTAAAATATATAAATGCAATGCCGAAATATACTTAATGTTTTTTTTCCCTTTACACAAAGTCTGAGCAGTTGTAGCCTCTTCACAGAAGTACGTTCTGAGTGCCTCAATTTGATAACTCGGAGATGCAGTAAGAAGAATATCAAAGTGAAATAATTAGTATGCTAATTAGGGGTGTTCATTAGAAATGTTTTTTTTCTTCTTGAAAAATGACGAAGAATTATCAGCATCCGTTTCAAATCACTCACAAAGAAAGTTGAACTGTTTTCCTCATTCGTAAAAAATAAGTGTGTATTTATTCACAAAAAAAAATTCATTTTTATTTCCCTGTAGCTTTATGTGTTAATATTTAATGCCTCAAACTCCTAGAATGTCTACACAAACTTTTCCAGAAAAACTGAATATATATATATACCGTATATAACTTCTAAACCTAATTGTAGCTGCAGATTAATATTAGTGTATGCTGTTTGTTGTACTTCATTCTAATTTAAATTAAAATACAGCATCCTTAGAATTAAGCAAAGCCTAAGAATCAGCAGATGGGGTGGGGGGGTACCGTGATACAAAAGAGGGAAGGGTTTCCCACAGTTCCGCACTGTAATTTCGGCTTGGAGGATTTATTTTGAAGGGTGTGCTCGGCAGGATGCTGGGAAGCCTGGGAGGGGCGCTGGGTTGGTTATGCGGCTTGGTTACAGAGGTGTTGTGGGATGTGTGGTGGGAATGTTAAACTTGTACGAATAGGAAACACGGGAGATGAAAATAGATTTAGGCTTCTCTAACGCATAGAAACATTAAGACTTTATATACATGTCAAATTCTGTATTGCTCAAAATATCTGGATTAAAAAAACTGAAACTTCATTAAAAAGAAGACTGCACTGTTCTAATTTGCTTGTTTTTTTTTACTATATATGGCTGTTAATTACTTTTCTTCTATAAATTCCACATTTAAAAATAAGAACTTATCCTTAAAGTTAAAGAAGAAAGCACAAGGACAATAGGAATATTTTTTCTTAAATCTTATTATCACCCTGACTCGGTGGTCTCTTGATCCTTACTGTAAAAGGCTTTGGCTGCGTGGGTCTGTGTGTGTGTGTGCGTGTGTGTGCGAGCATGATAGTGGTAGACCGCAGACAGCCTCTAGGTGCCATTGCACTGCGCTTGTGTGGATGCTTTCGTGCCTTCTTCATGTCTGGACCTGGGTAGAAAACAAACAGAAGAAAAAAAAAAAGCAGTACAGGGTAAATTCAAGGTGTTGTCTGGTTAAAGCATGTTATTAAAATGTTATACACATGCATCAGTAGGAAGAGACACACACTCTTGCATAAAAACAAAACGTAGTACAGACAGGGAATGGATTTCAATCAGCAAAATGTAATTTAATGTTTGTTTAGCTGTGGGTTAAGAGTTCTGAAATTCAGGTTTAAATTATATAACAACATATAATGTGCAACTTTATCTTCTTTAGTTTTACTAAAGAACTTGCATATTTTCATTTGTGTAAAAAAAACAACACTTTGAAGTGGACCAGATCCTATCAACACCTTGGGTGGTCCTTGGCAGGGTAGAAAATGAGCTGCTGGGTGTGTACATTAGCCTCTGATTTAACAACAAAAGAGCTCCACTCTTAGAATCATATTAAATCGGCATCTTTGGAATAAGAGACTTTGATTTAAAAACACACATCAGAAGCTGCATATTGTAGTGGCCAACAGAGCTACTGTAGAAAATGCTTTAATGTTGTTTTCTACTCCCAGTGAAGAACTTCAGGTTTACGAGGGCACTGGTTGTGATGTATTGTATACTATAGCTCTGTGTCTGATGATAAAAAGCTGGATGAGGCCAAATGGAGTCTATAGTCAACCTGCGTTGTCACAGCAGTAAATTTTCAAACTTTAAATCAGTATCCAGGAAAATATTGGGAAACTCAGCGCTATTTTTGATTCCAGATTTCAAATTACAGATGCTGGTTAAATAAATGTGCACAATTAAAATAGCATTTGGTACCAATAACATGCCTGATTAGTGTTGTATCTGAATATAGCATTTGAGTATCAATACTTTATATTGAGAATAGATACATTTGATCAACCTATACCTGGAAGGAAGGATAAAAACAATATTGTGCAAACATCTGTTATATAAAACTACACTATATAAAACATTTACAGAGTTTATTGATACATTGTTCCTAAAAATGTTCTCTTAAAAAAAAATCTAAAACCAATTTCTAGTTTTGTTACATGTTGTTATATTTTACTTTTTTTTTGGACAAAATAAACACACCATTTCAAATTTAATTTTTTCTGTTGTTGTTCTATGAGCAGCTGCAGCTTTCTTTCATTTTAATGTCATTTAGCCTTTAGTTGTTATGGTACAATAGGCTATGGTGCTCTCTAAAAACCGACGGCTCATTTGTGGTTAGCAAAGCACATCACAAATCCTGTGGAAGTCACATTCATTAATGTTTTTTTGAAGCTAATTTATGCCGCGTTAATGATTTCTTCAAAAACGCCACTGCTTGTAGTTTTAAGTAGTCCCTCAGAGTCTTTTTCATCTCTTTTTGTTCTGGTTTGGTATCATGTCTGCCCTTTGGCATACCAGAGGAAGCGGTCATAATTAGATATGTACAAGAGATGGTTAATAAATATATGTAGGAGTAGAAATTTGCAAGCTTAAGCACAACAGGTAAATATCAACTATTTCTTTTTTTTTCTTTATATAAACATCACTAAGTGTGTAAAATTAAACTTTTCTTATCCTAATCTTGTGTTATGTGCATAGATGGATATATTATACAAATGGGTGAGCTTTAAAAAATTTCAACAGGATGAGACCACAGCTGTATTAAATAAGTCATAAACTTTTAGGTTGTTATACTAGGTTATTATAAAAAAAACACAATAAAACTTTTAAAAAAAGAAAAGAAAATGCTATAACTGTAGGCCTAAAAATATATTCAAATGGCCCCTTGCTAAAAGATACACAGTTTTTCATCTACATTCTCGAGGTGAACAATGATTGACCTTGACGACACATGAAATTGTTCGTACTTCCCTTTGATTTTAAATAGAGACAGAGGATAGCACAGGAAAGCTGCTTAATACAATAAAGGCAGATTATTATGCCAACTAAGGGTTTCTGTCCTCCGTTAAAAATAAGAATAAAATATCTCCTCTCTGATCAGGCACAATCTGGTTACCAGATATATCGCTATACCTATATACCTACCTATGCAATAGTTGCATACCCCAATTTTTTTTTGTTTTTGCAAATATAATCTGTTGGATAATTATTAACAATAATAATCTTTATTAATACACACATTTTTAAACAACTATTACAAACGGCTTTCCATCCAATAACTCTTGTATGTCAAACCTTTAGATCCATAACAGCAATTTAACTGACTCTCAAGAGCCAAAACATTCATATCATGCCATAAACTACAGAGGTATGTTATTTTAAAGTGCTAAAGTGGCTAATACGCCAAAATAAATGGGAGTAAAGTTATAGCTTAAGAGCAGTTTGTAAATAAAATTCTGAAACAAAAAGTTTAATTTAAACAGCTGAAAGTGGCCCTTTTAAAGACTTCACAATGACACCTCACCTCTGCATATTCAAAATGTAAACTGAAAACTGATTGTACTTATTTCTACTCCAAATAACGAGAAACACTTTAGTCTGGAAATATTTTGGGGGACATAAGATAATTTGAGGTGTGAAAAGAAAGTCTTATTATGGTCATATTTTTAAATTACTCTTAAAGAAGAAGCAGAGTTTCTGCTAAGCAGCTGGACATTTATAGAAGCAGTATTAGTTTCCATAATACGCATCTGGAAAACCTCTACTAAATCAAGAAGGTTAATAACTGTTTTTCTTTAGAATTAAAGTAAACAACATATAAAAATAACATATTTTAAACTGTAATCTATGTATTATATATATGTTCTTTTTTTCCAGTGAAATATGTTGACTATGTGATTTACTTTTGTGATATGATACAATAAAATGTACTTCATGTGATAGCACATCAAAGAAGCTTTAGATTTTTCGAATATGCCTTTAAAAAACACATATTCACTTTTATTTCCTATTTCTCTTAGAGGAAAGTGTTTCATCTTTAAGTTATACCTCTGTTTAGTGCTATGTTGCTGATTTATTTATCTAGCATCGTTTCTCATCACGCTATCTCCTTTTTTCCCTCTTTCCCCTACTGTTCCATCTTTCTGTCTGTATGCCTGCTGAGAACAGGGAAATGCTACCACCATTAAAGCCCAAGCACACTTAAAAAAGTGAACCCCTTAGTACATTTAAAAGAATGGGACCACCCACTTGTTTGGAAAATAAAATGCAACCATAAAATCCATGTTTACTCATAGAGGCCAGTAGACACAACGGGGGGAAAAGGCTGTTAATTGAGATAGGAGCATTTCATCGAACAGAGGAAGTATTTTTGGTAGAGAGGGAAAAAAAAAAAAAAAAAAGAATAAATCAGGGCTGCTGGTAAAGCTCGTGCTGCAGGTCCTAACTGCATTCCAGTAAATCTGTCAAAATGTAATTACCAGAAAATAATCAATGCATCGCAACTTTTCATATATCATTATTAAGATGCTTCATTATTTGTGTTATGATGTTCCTCCACAATTAACATTTGCATAGCATGCTATGCCATTCAGTTACTGTGTGAATTTTTTGTGCTGTTTAATTTAAAATCAAATTCGGCCTAATTTACATTAGCGAGTGGAGCAAAAGACAGGAAGACTTCCTATTCTGGAGGGCCACCCAGGTTTAAAATGTACAATATGTGAGATGTTGATGATGGAAAAATCCGGCAATTTTGTAGCAGCCTTTTAGGGCTAAGAGATTGCTAGAAGAACATAAATAATTTTAAATACCAGGGGGGAAAAAAGCCTTTATGGTTTTTATGGGAAGTTCAAACAGATGGCTTCCATTCAGAGGCTAAATACAGATTTGGATATAGGCTAAAGTTAGCTACACATTGAAATGCAGAAGGGCTGTACATTCACAGCTCTTCTCAGTAAAGCTAAGCAGTGATGTTTAAGCTCCCTTCTAGTAATGTCTGCCGCTGCTTTGATAATTTCTGCAGCACCGTGTCCAAACAATCAAGCCGGTAATGCGGCAGGAAACGTACGGCGAGACTGTTTTTCAGGTTTATGTCGCACAGCGTTGCTAATCTGCTTTGTTGGTTTGTATGTATGCGCTCTTACCATGTTGTGCCTGTTTACAATAAAACTAGCACAGACATGTAGAGCGAGACCACCCAGAGAAGTTCCCCAAATACCGATGAAACTCACTAGTCTTAATTATATCCATCTTCTGGGCGTAACTTTTAGCTCAGAAAAAGACATCTGAGCCACCCCTCGACTGATAGGCCACAAGCCTCACGATAAAGCTTTATGAAAAAACTCTGACTTTAGAAGAAAACAGTGCAGCATTGGCCTATTACTATCATTAATAGTATTATCATTAATATAATTTCTAGGCTATCCCATTTTACATTTAATACATATTGTATTAAAGACGTGGAATCTGCCCAATACTTTAGGAGGCTGCGGCAAAATTAAATAAGAAATTTAAATCAAAGGGATGATAGCTCTGCAATGAACACCTGTGCAGTGCTTAGCACTTCATTAACAGAAGGAAAGACATGGCAGCCTCCAAATGTGGTCCCACGCATGAGCCACTTTAGGAAAACAACTGCTGCCTGTTTTGACTGACCCGTTCCTGTCTGCGATCTCTAATTTTCATGTTGGGAATGTAAGGGGGCAATTGTTTTGGTTGGGAACGTACGCAGACGTATAAAGGTGCAAGAAGACACAAGAGGAGAGAGAGTCTAAGCAGACAGGACCTCTGCCACTGTCTGCCAGACAGAATCCTCCTCATGCTTTGATCTGCTGCCCACTTCTCCCCTCTGTGCTTTTCGTCTTCAAGCACACAGCTGCGATGATTAGCAGAATTGTTGATTGTTGAATCCAACGCTGAAAAAATTTAAATACAGTGAAAGTTCATTTGAAATGAATGCCAGTTTAACACCTAACAATGCTAAAAATAATCATAAAGATAAACTTCTACTTTTAAAAACACAATTTAAATGTAAAATAAGCAGCTTAAATCTTTTCTTTTTGCAGTTTGGCTGAGATGCTATCTAAAGCCATTTGTTCCAAGTAGTGAAGC